TCCAGGTTATCTGAAAGACGACAGAAAACGATCAGATATATATTATTCCGTCATTTAAAGTCTTCAGCTCCTGTTATCTGATTTAAGCTTCTGATTCAGGCCCTAAAGAAACAGTAAAAGTGTGTTCGCTAAAAAGTCACCTGGTTTCCAGGAGGCTCAGGTGTGTCTCTGTGAATGACAGATGACCAGATAACGTGGGTGTTCGTGAATCATTGTTTGTTGCTTGGAATGTCTGGATTCACGATACATTTTAAAGGGCAATGCGTATTTTTTCTCAGAGTAACTCCATTAAATTGCCCATAAACGTATTTGTACACACTTATTTCATATTTAAAACATCGAAATATTGACTTTATGTTTAAAAAAAAAAAAGCACAGACACCTTTCAAGCTAAACATTTTATGAAAAGGACGGAGTGTGTTTTCAAATAATTTCAATAAAATTGGACAAAGCTACAATTCTATAAGACAACATAGTTAATAGCCTATAAAGAACTACATCTAAATCATTAAACATCATTAAGCAAAAATGACAAAATAAATAAATACATGGAGCAGAACATTTTAGTTCTGAAAAAAGCCCCTGCAACAGACTTTTTTTCTTTTTTTTTGTAGATGACATTTTTACAACTTTTTTAAAAAAGGCATGTTTTGTAAAAATTGACATTTGTTACCTTTTAATGTGTATTTAAAGTGCAAAGTATTTAGTATCACTGGATATCAAACATTAAATCTATTTTCTTTGTGTGAGTATACAAACAATCTATAATAAAATTATTTCCATTTTTTATCATCTCCGACATTTTCATTCTGGTGTATTTTTTAATTGAGCCAATTTTTTTTGATTGTTTACCCATTATCAATGCCACCACTGGTAGGCCTGTATAATTATATCACAGAACTGAACTTTAAAATACGTAATATTCTGACAAAAAATTACAATAAAAGATCAAATGTTACATCAGGGAAAAAATCCTCACAAAATAAATTAAAAAAACAATGCAAAATGTTACTTACTACCCAGAAGTTTTTGAAGCTCTTTGATGTATTATAATGCCTCTTCGCTGACACACATTCATTAAATGAGAATGTGTGAGTGAACTTTGAGTGTACATGAGAGACTCACCCCTCCCAGCTAAAAATCAAAACACACACACACACAAATTGGCTTTGTGGAAGAAAACTTCAGTATAACGAAGTTTGTCAGTGTGCTCATACAGTAATTAACAGGGCCGCTGTACTATGTGAAAGGTGATCTTGTTTATTTGCAGCTTTGTAAAACTATAACCAGGAAACTGCCAGGTGCAAAATACCTTCTGGTGCATTCTCTGTAACGAAGAGAATTTGTTTAGCAGCTCTGTGTCACGTATCTTGGCAACTGGTTAATTACGATCCTGGATTTAAGACTCACTGTTAATAACTAACAGCAAACACCCAGGGAGCAACATATGAGTTCATCCAGATGCTTCAATACAGGGATAAGGCTCATGTTTATAAAGCAAGGATTGTTAATGCAACACCCCAAAACACCCATCCCTGAAGCTGAATTCCTTTAGGGGCGACTGGGGCTAGTCGTCACCTCAATACAAGAGCAACTGTCAGGTTGGGGCAAGTTGTCACATGTTTCAAGTGTTGACCTGTAGGTAAAAGTCCACATAAAAGTATAGCTTTATTGAAATCAAATTACATGATTTAATGTGACTGAATCAACCTGACTGCATTTACTGTTGAACATTTGCTGGAGATTACATAATATTCTGTGAACTGTTGTAGATTTTTTTCAAAGCTAGAAAAAAAAATCTGAATAAACAAGTTAGTTAGCATTCTCACCCTATTTTTATCTTTACCTTGAAAAAGGTGACATTTCTCAGACCTGCCCCGTCACATTCATTAAATGTCTCTGTCAAAGAACCGTGATGCTAATAACGCAACAATTGTGCCTCAGAAATTATAATGCACAGTTTATGTGGTTTTATGTGAAATCATGAAAGTGTGAAAGAATTTGCCATTTTCATCACCTCTTGTGTAAGAAGTAGGCCTAAATATCAAGTGATATTTACTTTGTACATTTATTTGTCATATGGGTATTATTAATCTTCTTTTTTTTTTTTTTTTTGTCATGCAAATAAATTAAGCATTATTCCATAACACTGCATCTTAACGTTTAGATAATAAAAATGGCAACAGATGGATTACTCTGTGGCTTAAATATAATAAAACTCAAACTTGTGTGCAGTCAGGAGGCATTTCACCTTTACATTATATAAACAGTGAATTCACAAAGTGCCTTTGAAAAAACTAATGGTCAGTTCTTGTAGGGGTATACGCACCCCATACGCCCATACAGTATACGCACCTCATATCAAACCATTTTACTGCAGTATTTTAGAGAAATGTCACATTATTCGCCTTCAGAGGCACATAAATACCTAATTTCTAATAAGTAGAAAATAACAAAGGTTATTTCTTATAGGGGACGTCAAATACAGTATACGCACCTCATATCAAACCATTTTACTGCAGCAAACCCATAGACAGTAAAAGCAAACCCCAAACCAATCTGTTCTTTTAGGATTATTTTTTTATTTATTTATTTTTTATCTAGGATAAGCACTGTAAGTTTGTAATACGATTTGACATTGTTATTGATTTGTTTATTTGCTTGGTTTCTCAATAAAAAAAAAACAATCTAACTTCTTCTATCTTTGCCTTACTGATATCCTAGACCTAGATCAATAAGCACACTACCTCCCCCTAGTGTCAGGTCTAAGCCTTACATACCAGAGGAACTTGTTCACACTACATGGTATTAAAACGTCGGGCTGAACTGTGCGGTCCACACACTACATGACTTGCCCTCTGTAAAAGGAGTGTTCAAGTTGTTCAGCTGTTCACACACCACACAACACAACGTGATTGATACACAACAGGAGGTAACCACTGATCTATAGACCATTTCACAAGATGTAAACAACACTGGTCCAGAAGCACTTCCTGTTTCAGTTTGTAACTGTTTTCTTTATTTCACATGTAAAGAAAACATCTTAAAGATGTTTGTTTAACTTTCTGGTTCAGTTTTAAATGTTCTGTTGGTTGTATTTTATCCCAGCTTTTATGTAGTGTTAAAAAACTGAAACAGGAAGTGCTTCTGGACCAGTGTTGTTTACATCTTGTGAAATGGTCTATATAGAATGATTCATTATATTGAGAATGAGGAGTTGACGTCATTTACAGTGCCCCTCCCCTTTCCGCTTGTTGGTAGGATTCCCACGACAAAACAGTATTGATTACGTGTGTTTTTAGCTCGGTAGTAGAGGAGTTCCTCGCAATACCGCACTGTTTTACCATGCCTGGAAGTAACTGCTGCGTTAAAAACCGATAAAAACCCTGGTAACCGATAGCATCACCTACCATCATGGCCGAATGGCTCAGACCCCGCCCAAATAGGCACGTGACTCCTCATTCTCCATAGATCAGTGGAGGTAACTCACACACTGACAACGCACTAACGTTACATAGAGATCCGACATTCTCTGGATCCAACCACGATCGGATGATTAAGAGCAAATCATTTGTGAGCTGTTTCAGTACCGTTATGGTACGGTCTAAATCCTGAAAATAATCAAATAAATAAGAAGTTAACAACAACTCTGTCACCCAACGATTCTATCTCGTCTACAAACGAAAAACCACGCAATAAAACGAACCAGAAATGACGCGAAACAGCACGTGCGCAATAGCGAAGAAGAGAACACAACACGCATACCGTTTGCGCGATGATTTGCTCTGAGAAAACAATGCAAAAAGAAAGAAAAACTTATATTTACCTGGTGACCTCAACCCATGCGTTGCTACGATTGGCTGTACTCATGACATTATTATTATTATTATTATTATATTTTTCTGGGCTCGGCGACGCGTCTGCGCTGCGTTGTTGGCTCTAACAGATTGGCAAGCGTTCATCGTCCGCTAATCCCGCGCGATTTGCACGCGAGAACACCCAACACCCTGACCTGCCAGCGAGCTCAACGATTTGCAAATCGGGCTTAAAATCATGTAATGTAAAATTGACTTAATGTGACTGACAGGCCAAGACTGTTACAATATATATTTGTATGGTCCTCAAATGTGTTCGAATATTTCACCTTTATCAGCCTTTTCACCGTTTGTATCACTCCGCTTGTCTGTGTTTGCCCAACTTGCATTATTAAGCCAGTAGGTGGCGACAAGTGACTGTTTTTATGAGTGCACTTAACAGATTAGTGCCAAAAATATTGATTAGCTAACCTTAGAAAGAAACTAGTTGCTGAAATATAATGCCAATATTTAATGCAAATATATAAATTGCTCCTTTTCCTCTGGACACAAAAGATTGCACTGGTGTTTGATTGAAATAACATCTATGTAAAATAATCCTTGAAAGAGTTCCCATTAAGGCCATTCCTATTTGGAATATGTGATTGTGGATTGCCAACAATAAGCAGAAACATTCTGCATTTGCATCCAAGCGTGGATCGTTTATTTCAACATCCTCATTCTCATATTTAAGAATCTTTATGCTACTGCCCACTGACATGCTTTTAAAGCTATTGTTATATCATTTTTATGAACTTCAAACACCTTAAAATGCACAAATGTAGGTATGAGAAATCTAAATTTTCTCGGGGGTTGCCCCTGAACCCCCTTAACTACCTCACCTTTGCATGTGTGTGACTGTGAGGTAACGTGGGCTGGTGTGGTTATAGTGCCAGGGATGTTTTTTTCTTAAACAGTCTGCCCCCGCATATAGGCCTGCAATATACATTATTCTCTGTATCGAATCATGTTATCTTATTACCCACCCCAGCCCCTCATGTTTTTAAAACCTATAAACGCCCCTGTTTTAAAATAACTGTAAATGTCTACTTTTAACTGAGAATATTCCTAATTACTTTTAAAAAGTGTCCGACAATACATAGCATAGATTATAACCAGAAAAATCCACAACATACAGCCAGGAAGTCATGGTTAATTAAATAATTCAATTTAATTTATGTGTTGTCATTCAAATGCTTAATGGCGGCTAAAATACAGTACCTTCCTTCAAAAGTATTCATTTTACATAAACATTAGCCAGTCAGCCAAAACTCACACATATGGGTGTGAGTGAAAAAAAAAAGAAAAAAAAAATTCCAAATGCCCCTTTTGCTTTTCAAATGTCACAGATCGAAACATACAACAAAACCTAAAACATTTTTCGCAAATGAAATTAATTGATCCATCATATTTATCTTGATTTTCTCAATTACCTGCCCCCCCATAAAATGAATAAAAATAGATTTGTAACATGCACCCATGTATTAACCTGTTCAGTTCACTAAATAATGATTCAAATGTCTAATTTGCCCGTGCAAAATAAAAAAAGTGCTTGAATTGCACTAGCTAGGCTTTACAATGAGTTAGAAACATGAAAAGAACAGACTATAATTTCATTTTCTTTTACATGATTCTCAGAGGTATTACATTTGGTAATGTCTGTATGTTTACTGTATGATTCTTTGAATAAAAAGAACCAGTTTAAATAACAGATTACACAGTACTTTTATAATGTAATAAGTTATAAGATATTGTTAGGAGGAAAACACAAGTATCAAAGCTTACAGTAATACAACACTGAGTAAAGATCACTAGAACTGGCATATAGACATTCAATTTGAAATAAAATAAAACACATTTCTATGAACATAAAATGATAAAATAACATTAGTTAGCCAACCAAACAAAAAATATAGACTACTTAAAATGTCCAGATTTTATAGAATTATATATTAATTATTTTAGAGTTATTTGCATTTTAAAGTTCATAAATATAATTGTATACTTCAAACACAGAACAGCACAGTGGTCCATTTCCTACAGTCTTTTTGTTTTAAAACCTGTGATATTTTAGTGGCTTCCCTGTGGATGCTTGTCCTTTGCTACCGAACCTTCTCACTGTTAGATTAAATGAAACCGTTCAACGATCAGTCCAGAAGGTCACAGATTTTCTGGGAACTGCAGTCGTTACTGCATTAGACAGCTGCTGCTTGGCAGGAAGTCTTGAACATATGTGACCACAGCCTTGGAAAGATAAGTCATCGTACCATAGCTGCCGCTAGGAGCACTGTCATAAAAGAAGTTGCAGATTCCTGTGGCAGGATCTTTCTCCAAGAAATACTCATTTGCTCCATTGGATCTCTGTAATAAAAACACATATGCAACAGTGACCTGATTGTAAATCTGGAATCTAGACAAAAGAAGGCCACTTTGATGTAAGTGTTTAACATTTTTCATCAGTAAATAAAGTCTATTTGCGTTATTTCACAGTTTGATGACATTAAGGGGCTATTAAGCCATTGTCAAGTTTTGATTTTGCTTTTGTGGACTTCCAGAATAGGTTTTCATGCTTGAATGTTCAAAAAAAACCATTATTTTTCCACATAGTTTACATTGTTGCAGCACCTCTCTTCCCAGTCTGTCAGTAATGCTCTGTTTAGTTCCTCTCTCTATGAAGCTCATCCTTCCGAAAAGCATAATTTACTCTGATCTGGTTGGCTGGACTGTGATTGGTCAACTGCTTTCAGTGTGTTTTCGTAAATGTTGCACGCCTTACCATAACCGCAACTTTCAACAAACTACAAACGCAAATTAAACAGGCCTCGCCCCCTTTTTTGCATATGCTTTGGCGGGAATCATTTAAATGAGGAATATTGTGAAGTGTACATTCCCAGAAGAAAACTCAAGACTACAATCATGGTGTTTGAGGGAGTTCACTTTAAAAAAAAATTTTGCTGATAATTTACTCACCCCCATGTCATTCAAGATGTCCATGTCTTTCTTTCTTCAGTCGAAAAGAAATTAAGGTTTTTGATGAAAACATTCCAGGATTTTCTCCATATAATGGACTTCAATGGGAACCAAACGGTTCAAGATCCAAATGAGAGTTTCAGCGCAGCTTCAAAGGGCTTTAAACGACACCAGACGATGAATAAGGGTCTTATCTAGCGAAACGATCGCTCATTTAAAAAATAAATAAAAAAGTTTACGTTTTATAAGCACAAATGCTCGCCTTGAACATTTGAGGTTCTGCGATGAGCTTTTGTGACTCTCCTGTTCAAACTCATTCATCAAAATGAACAAATCTTTTTTCGAGTCATGACTCGAAGGGTCCTAGATAAGACCCTTATTTATCGTCTGGAGTCGTTTAAAGCCCTTTGAACAGTTTGCGCTGAAAACTCTCATTTGGACCTTGAACGTAACCATTTGGTTCCCAATGAAGTCCATTATATGGAGAAAATCCTGGAATGTTTTCATCAAAAACCTTAATTTATTTTCGATCTTGGATGACATGGGGGCGAGTAAATGACCAAAAAATGTTTTTTTAAAAGTGAACTACCCCTTTCAGAACTCCTTTCAGGTGTGTACATACATGTGAACAAACCAAACAGCTTATAATGAGCATCTTATGATTACACACACACACACACATATATATATATATATATATATATATATATACGTATGATGATACCTGATCCTGCTGAAAGAGATCATTGGCCATGTGGACAATGCGGTCGATGTGAATAATTCCACCAATACTGGGAATCTCCATGTCGGCCACAAGCATCAGCACCATAATGGCCTCCACCAGCAGCTGTCTGTACTCTGGCTGCGGGACATGATTCAGTACAGACTCCACGTGCACTGCAAACTTAATCTCTCCCTCTGTCATCTACAATAATACACACAGACAACATACACACAGTTAAGGGTATTTCAAGAAGAAAAAAAAATCCAGATTCATGTTTCAATATAATATAGCAATCTAAAATATAAAATAAATATATGAATACTGTTCAATGGTTTGGGGTTGGTTCGATGTTTATGAAATAAATCTCTTTTGTCATATTGTGAGACATTATTTTATTTAAAACAACCGGTTTCTATTTGAATATATTTTAAAAATGTAATATATTCCTGTGATGGCCACAGACACCACAGATTTGGTGCTCAAGAAACATTTCTTCTTATTATTAAAAATGTTGAAAATGCTTAATTTTTTTGTGGAAACCGTGATGATTTTTCCATCAAGATTCTTTGATGTTTAGAAAGTGCAAAAGAACAGCATTTATTAGAAACAGAAATCTTTTGTAACATTATAAATGTCTTTACTGTCATTTTAAACAATTTAATGCATACTTGCTGAATAAAAGTATTAATTAAAGGGGACCGGCAGTGTGTGTACACAACCACCCTGTAATGGTAAAAAGCCACCCACTCCTTTTTTTTTATCCACATAAATCATAGGAAGCGTCTCAGAACAAGCCATTTGCAGTTTCTGTGCAATGTGACATCACAAACGTTTAGGCCCCGCCCATGACTACCCTATTAGCATAGACCCTGCCTTGAATGAGCTGTACAGTCAAGCATTCAAGTAAGAAATGTATTCTTATTAAAGCTACTAAAGTTATTCAATCAAGAGCATTGAGTGGTTTTCTGTTTTTCTTTGGTTTGATTTTGGTTTGGTTCTAGGGACACCTGAGACTTATATTACATCTTGTAAAAATGTGCATAACAGGTCCCCTTTAAAAAAAAACTGACCCCTAAATTATTAAACAGTAGTTAAGAGGCTCAGTACATTACAGTGTGTATGAGTGTGCAGGCGTATGCACCTCACTGGTGGTGGAGGAAGGCAAGACGTATCCGGCAATAGAGAGGCCGTGACATTTCTGGAGAATCTTCCAAACTTTTTGGTAGAAGCCCATGGGCACCCGGTTAATGGCCCCATCTAATCTGCGTCTCCTCAGCCACTGGCCCTGGCGCTCCTCCCACTGCAGGTGTGAGTCGCCTGTACCGGTCGGAGACAGGATCCCACTGGGAGTGGAGGGGCTGCTGCATCGCTACAGACACGCATACATTTCCATTATCAGTATATGTACAAAGGCAGAGCTAACAATGTGGGCCGCCGGTTTAAAAGTGACATCTCTAATCACCACATATACTGTCACATGGTTAAAACACATGCTTAAGGTTTAGTAAGCAAGAACTAGGACAAACATAGCTAAGGATGTCATAATGTCAGCCCATGCTAAGTGAGTGAAATGACCACAACAAGACAAGACTGAATGTTGATGCATATTACAGATGTTAATTTGCTGTTATGGCTGGAAGTTTGTCCCATTTCAACTCGGATAACTAATCTGAAGCACTGAAAAAAAAAATCAAATAAATTAAAAAATTATATATATATATATATATATTAGGGCTGTGCAAAGATTAATTGCGATTAATCGCATCCAAAACAAAAGTTTGTGTTTATATAATATATGTGTGTGTGCTGTTTATAATTATTTTGTATATATAAATACACACACTTACATGTATATATTTAAGAAAATGTGTTATTCATATATAAAATATGTATATTTGTATATAATATAGATTATGTATTGACATATATACAGTATTTACATGGAAATAATTCTTAAATATATACATCCATGTATATGTATTTATATATACAAAATAATTCTAGACAGCATACACACATATATTATGTAAACACTTTTATTTTGGATGCGATTAATCACAATTAATTTTTGCACAGCCCTAATATATATATATATATATATATATATATATATATATATAATTATACACAGTGCACCCACATATATTATGTAAACACAAACTTTTATTTTGGATGCGATTAATCGCAATTAATTGTTTGAAAGCCCTAATATATATATATACATATACATATATATATATAGGAGGGAAAAGTATTTAACAGTGGAGAGAGGGAGTTAACGGAGAGTTTTTTTGTTTTTTTGAGTTACCGTGGAACGTGGGGATGTGAAATTACTGCTGATGGAATGACTGCTGGTAAAGATCTATGAGGATAAAAGCAGAACATACAAACATTTATAATGAACATAAGCATTGAAAGTATTTCAGACGAATGAACATTTGAGGCATCATAAAGAGAGGCTTACAGTCAAAAGATGCTTCAAGATGTGTATGATATGGGCAAACTGAACATTACTCTGAATTTTCATGGTTTGACAAATGTGCTGTGACATCTAGACAGAATGGCTCTGCACACATAAAAACCAATCTAAAGTATTTTGCACAGCATGCCTGAAAAAAACAAACAAAACAATTTACAAACTCAACCCACGCTTATGGGTCTGGAGTCATCGAGCTGAAAACAAAATAATATAAATGTTATTTGATGAAAGTCAATCAAGTCACATTTATTTAGCGAGAGATAATAAATTTTTTCATAATTACGAGATCATTTTTCATGGGAAAAAGGTTTTTGCTCTGTTTTTCTGAATGAATGACTCAGAATTATGAGATATATTTTTCTTGAATGAATGAGTCTTTTATGAATTAATGAGTTGCTCATATTTTTTTGTCATTATTCACAAAAACAGAGCAAAAGCCTTTTTCCATGAAAAATTATCTCGTAATTCTGAGATAATTAACTCGTTATTCAGAAAAACAGAGTAGATTTGTTTCCTCAAGTGAATTGCAATGCGCTTCCGTAGGTAACTGTCTAACATACACTAGTAAAGAAATCAGTTTATAACATCTTAAAGGGCAGACAAATATATCATCATTTTGAAACAATTATTTCACTCAACCTGTTTGATTTCAGTCTTGAGTTTTCTGAATGCCGTTCGCTCCGTCTTGGTGGCGCCCCGTGGTGTCCGAGCTCATGGATGGAGATGGCAGGACTTTAGCCGAAGACTGAATAGGACGCACTTTCACACGATACAGGAAATTATTAAGGAACAGACCAGCAGAAATATTTGCTGGAGTAAATAGCATGAAAACTAAGGTTGAATAATACTCACTGCTCCTCTCTACACCAAACTCTTCCCGCTCAGGATGTGATGTAAGAGGTTCTTCATGTCAAACGGACTGAGGCTCATCAGCCTTCTCGGACGCCTCCTCACCTGTAGAGGTCATGAGGACAGGTTCATTGCAGTGAATTTACAGGAAAGGATTTGATTGTCTGATTGGTTGTACCTGAGCAGTGTAGACTGCGTGCAGTTCTGTAGCCAATCACTTGCATGATGAGCCCGATGCGCAGACGCAACATATCTCCGAATGAGATGGCGAGAGCGCACAATACATGGCCAGATACGCCATGATCTCCTGAATTCAAGAAGTTTAATAAGTGAAATGAGGGGAAAAAAAGCAACACTACTTCAGGGCTTATAATTAGTGCTACCTGTGTGAGTACTGCAATGCTGATGTCTTGTCCACTGGCCTCATAGATCAGGCTAATCAGTTCCTCGGGAGGAAGAGGACTATAAATAAGAGAATTGGTTAAGTAAAAAAAAAAAACGATTTAAAAATCAACATCTAAAATGACTACATTCAACTAAAGTCACTTACACTGTGATGACCTTCTCTCTGGGCTCGGGAGGAAGACCCACTGTTAGCTGTTTATGATGGGAGATCAGATCTGTACAGGCCTGTGTGCATATAAACAAACATACAACAAAAAAAACTGTTAGAGTTATGGTGAAAATAATGCCACTGCAGGTCAAACTCCCAATTTTATACTTTGTTTAGATTATTTAGTTTTTATTTATGTTTTAAAATTCGAATCATTTATTTTTTTTATGGTATAATTTCATAGTTTAGGATTAAAATTTGAGTCTGAAAAAGTAGTAAAAACAAATGATGAATAAATTAGGGGAAACGTTTCCAAGATAGTAGTTAGTAGTAGATAAAAGCAGTTAATTTGAACTTTCTAATCATCAAGAAATCGTGAAAAAAATTGTATCATGGTTTCCGTAGCAACTTTAGGCAGCACAACTGTTTTGAGCATGATAATAATGATAATAACAATAATTCTCGAGCAGCAGATCAGCATATTAGAATGATTTCTGAAGGAACATGTGAC